GAGGGAGAATGTCGAGAGCGTCGGTCCGACAGCCGAAGTGATGCGTTCGATAGCGACACGGTTCGGCAGATCCAGTTCGTGCACACAACTGCCCAGGTCGAGCATCTCAAGCCGACAAGCAACAGGGGCCGTTTCCCATCTGGGGTCCCCAAGGTGGGTGTCCCGGATAGTCAATTGCCGAAGGGAGGGTATCGAGAGCAGTGACGGCAGAGATAGCTCCGACCCGAGCAAAGGGTGATCGGCAATATCGTTGTCGCCGTTGACCAAGGGCACAAATGGGTACTTGCCCACGATCTCCGGCGCATGGAGTGTAGAGCGGGAGACCCTTTCTAGTGACAGGTACTGCAGGTACGGAACTGAGGCCGCGATGGATACCACCAATCGCTCGCTCCTGCAAAAAGAATGTCAGATGATGACGAGAGTTTATTAATTGGCGCGACCCGAAGCTTTGGCTTTCACCACGAAGCAAGGGGAATGTCGAATGTCCCTCTTGCCCTGCTTCGCTTCTAGAACGCATGCTCAAAAAGTTCGTTCACTCACAAAGGCAAAACAGACTCTTCCGCACAGTTGCGGATAGTGAGATGGCGCAAGTTGGCGAGAAAGGGGAAGCAGGAGATGACGCTCTGGTGGGGAGAGCCCTCGACGCGCAGGAGGAGTTGCGAGAGGCGGGGTGACGCAAGCAGCAGCGAAATGAGCGCATCCGCAAATGCTCTCGGTCCGCCCTCGGTTCCTACATCAAGACACTCAATATGCCGGCAGTAGGCGCGAGGAACATTCTCGAGGAATCGTCCAAGATCGGACTGGCTATTGAGCTTAACATCCTGTCGAAAAAAAGCTTGCTGAGCATGCCCGGATCGACGTCAATTGAATACTCACCCTGAACAAAGCGGGAACACACGCCCTATACGTGCCCTGGTCTACCGCGGAGAACATCCTCACATCTGCCACGTCAAGATTGTCGACGACGAAAAGCTGGAGTTCAATGGGGAGGGTGTGCCAAGTCACAGGCATGACGGGTTCTGTGGCTCGAGCCGGTGGGTTTGGATGGGTTTGGGAGATGTCGGGGATTTGAGATGGGGATTTTAGACAGGTTCCATCGAGTATTTGAGGCCTGTGTGAGGACTCCGAAGTCCACGAAGTCCGATCCTTCTCGGAGGTTGCAAATCAAGGTGTGGACACGGAACAGAGATCGATCCCATCAAATACATGTGCCAAACACACCCTGCTCTCTGTTGCCACCATACATTCATATCGGCGAACTAGTTGGTCCGTAGTGCCGTGCCCCCCTGGTCCACCGAACTACCTCTATCGGCGTTTCTCGCTCAGTTTCCGCAGGCGTTTCGGCCTCGCCCTTATTCTTTTTGAAGGTGGGAAATGATCAATCTCGCCCGCCATGCTCGGAGAACAGCCCCTGCAGCGTTCTCATGGACCGAACAACATCAACAGCCGCGCACATGTCTATGTGACTGTCGGTTGTGGATGATACCTATCCTTGTCTTCTTGCTGAAAAGGCATATATTGCAGCGCTGTGAGCAGGTCCGCCGACTTCGGCGGAGGTGATATTGTTCGTTTGTCCTTGCTGGGATGTTGGCGTGCAATGAAGCTGGAGGGAGACGCCGCTGACAGAAAGACACATTCCGGTATGCGTCTGGGCCGCCGTTGGGGCGAGCGAAGTTTAACGTTCAGTTTCACTATGTGCATCCGACGAGTTCCTTGTTGTTTGTCGTCGTGACCCGGTCCGCCTGAAGGTGCCGGATATGATGCAAGTGCTCCCTTGCCGTTTACCGGGCATGCGATCAGGACGCTGGCACTGCCGTGTCGTGGCAGCCTCAATGCAGCGACCATCGTCACCCGACATCTGGTAAGCTTTGGCCAAACCCTTATGATCTCACTTGCTCCTTATAGCTGTGGACACGGCGATATCTGCGTTCCACTCATCTCGGAGCACGAGGACGTCAATCCCGCTGCCTGTACGGCAACTTTGGCTTCGCCCCCGAGCTGACATGACCGCTGATCCATCATAATTCGTGCACCGCAATCGAGGAAGCTGACGACGAGGGCTTCCTCCACGAGCCTCGATGAAAGCGGAGTTGCATTGGTCGCCGTGATCTCACCCCCCGCCGACCATGGTTCCATGTCTATCATCAACTGTTCCCCCCCTCCAGGCATCGAGCGGGTGTTTCCTGTTACGTTCGAGGGAGCCAATGCCTAATACTTCGGGAGTGCAACAACGTCTGGACGGCTCGGATCAGAAATGTGCATTTGGACTATGCATGGACAGGTGAGGCATCTGGGCCCAGTCCGTGGGGCGCGTCAGTTTCATCTCCAATTGGGTGACGTCGTTTGAGTTTCGCGTGCTAGCCCACTGGACTCCTGAGAAGCTAAGCAGATTCAGAACTGAGCAGAACGGGCACAACCTCGGGCACGGCTCTGCACACCTTGAAGATAGCTACCGGCAAATGGCGTCGACCCTTTCTAGAACCCCGAGTCAGAAACGCACAGACAATATCTTCCCACTTGGATACAATCAGCAGGGTCACTGGAACCCAAAATGACCTCCTTTGAGCTGATAATCCTGATGACATTCTGGCCGTATATTAGAAATCCCAAGAACGGCATTCAACCGGTCTTGTATCGAGGTAGACATCAGCTACCGTCATGTCCTCTGCCATTCTCAGCCCTAAGCTGCACACCATCGCGTCCGATTACGTCTAATTTTGTTCGATTGCCGACTTGTCACCGTGTCGTGATGATCACCCGTTGCGTGCCTGCTATCAGCACCTCAATGCCTCGCCTAACGATGCTTTTCGTTGACGATCGCTCATAATCACTGCGCGTCCACAACTCTACGAGCTATAGCACCTCTCTCTCTCACTCGCCGCTCACGCCTCCAGCCGCACTCTTTTCGGGCCATCCTTCGCCGTGACGGGACAATCAAGTCAGAAAGAAGCGTCGTGAGAGCTCTGTGGCATGTGCCTCCAGTCAACATTATTTAACATCTCTAGTGCATCGTCCGCGGGCGTTCAAGGGCATTCATCGCCCGTCTAGTCGTTTCCTCGACTTTCCACCACCCTCGAGCCCGTCAGCCGATCATGCCAAGCAAGGTTCTCTCGCGGTCTATGGACGACGACCCGTTCGCGATTCTATTGAAGCCGCCAGAGGGAGAAACACCCGAGCAGCGCGAAGTGCGGCTGCTGTTGGAGAAGGAGGCGAAGGAAATTTCGGACTCCATTGACGAGCAGCTGAGCAAGGAGAAAGCCCAGGAGAGGAGAGGTCCGAAACCCGTAAAAGTTTTGTTGCTGGGTGAGCTCTTACCTTTCCTCTTCCCTCGCACCGTCACCGACGTCCCGCAGGCCAGAGTGAATCAGGTATTGCCCAGTCTTCTGCCAGATATCGTGTACTGAAAACCGCGCAGGGAAATCGACTACTCTAAAAAGTGCGTAGCGGTGGTTCTTGGCCATCGGGCTAGTGCTGATTGCCCCGGCATAGACTTCCAACTTATGTACGACCCCAAAGTAGGTCGCCACGCTTTTCCACGGTGCTTATTCTCATAGCCCCAGGCCTTCCGAGCAGAACGTGCATCATGGCGGGCGATCGTCCAGCTCAATGTAGCGCGTTCGATTCACGTCATTCTGGACGTGATTACACGCGCTGAGAATAACCCGTACCGCGACTCCTCTGCTCCCGTCGTCGACGACGAACTCGCTGACCTGAAAATGCGGCTGTCCCCCCTCATCCAGGTTGAGGAGATTCTTATGCAGCGGCTGATTCCCGTGGGGCCAGACACGTCTGACGCAGCGCGACTGGCTCAACTTACGAGTGTTCCTTACGCCGAGCGTCCGAGGAACGTGCTTCGCGAGGTCGCGGTCAACAGCGCCATGCCCTGGAAGGACGTGTTTGAACGGCTAGTGACGAGCGATAAGGACAGCTTCGACAGCGAGAAGGCCGTCGATTGGGAAGACCCGAATGATCCAGGGCCGATTCTCAACGCCCTAGCGAAAGATATGGCGGCGTTATGGGAAAACAGCACGGTCCAGGCACTGCTGGAGCGACAGAATCTACGATTGCAGGAAGCGGCTGGCTTGTATGCCACGTATTTTCACGCGTGGGGTCGCGCTAGCTGACTTTCTTCACACAGTTTTCTGGACTGCCTGGATGAAGTGACAAGCCTGCGATATGTTCCGTCCGACGGTTCGGACACTTCGTATCTCGTCTGAACTTTGGGGGATTGACATCTGCTGCAGACCACATCTTACGAGCTCGCCTCAAGACTTTGGTATGCTGTTCAGATCTTCTCCGTTCCCTGCTCACTGCCTCTCAGGGAGTCTCCGAGTATCGGATCAAGATGACCTCCGGTAATTCTGGTTTCCTCCGCGCGATGTCTGTCACCCATATCGTCTAGGTGGCATGACGGGAAGCATCAGTCGCGATTGGCGAATCTACGATGGCGAGTCTCTTCCATTTTCTGCTCCGCAGACTCGGCTGACCCTGTGATAGTGGGCGGTCACCGGTCGCTGGTGAGTCAGACAGTTGATATGCGAGTGTTACGTTTTCGGATGTCGGCCATTGCAGCGAGGTAGGAAACTTTTCTCTGTCGAAAAGATCGCACGCTGATGGACACCGAACAGCTGCCTGGGCGCCTTACTTTGACGACATGCATTCCCTGATACATCTGGTGCCGATCAGCGCATTCGACGAAGTTCTGGCTGAGGAGCCGAGGGTCAATCGGCTGGTCAGTCCCCTTGCGCTTGATTTCCATGCTCCGGTTCCATTCTGCTTGACAGGCCGACTCCGTCAATCTATGGACCATGATCGTGTCGAACAAATTACTAGCCAACACGAACATCATACTCTTCCTGAACAAGATCGATATCATGAAGAGTAAACTGGTGCGGGCTTCCCTTTATGGCCTACTAGTCAGGGTTTTCTCCTAACCTCGATCCACAGGATTCTGGCATCCAGCTTGTCGACTACGTGAACTCGTATGGGAACCGGGCAAACACGTTTGAGGCTGCATCAAACTGTACGTGACGATGGGTGCTGCTTCCAGACTTCTAACCTCCCCTGTCAGATCTGAGAAAGAAATTCGGTCCGTTTTCCGTACTGGAGCCGTCCTCGTCCCTGACCATATTGCAGCGGGGATAATGCGAGAGCAGTCCCCATCCCATCGAATCTTCTACTGCCATTTGACAGTCGTCACCGTATGTGGAAATATGCTCAACTGCCCTCTATCCTTTCTTCTCATTCTCCACGTGCAGGATCGAACATCGACCCAGTATATCCTGGCGAACAGTAAGTTCAGGTCAAATCTTGGTTCGTTCCAGTCGCTCATCGCGTCTCAGTCAAGGACATGTTGATGCATCAGTATCTCGAGGACGCTTCACTACTGTCCTGATCTAACCTGTATTACCACCGTACATTTATCCATTATCTTTCATGTACATCACGCACACATCTGTAGAATGAATCATGCCTTTCACGACGGCGTTTGGGCGCCGGCAAACTGAGCGTCGCTGGGGATAACGAGGTCGGGAATTCCGCAGTGCGGTGTCCAACTACGCAGCCGCCGTCCGTTCCACCATAGACCCGGCCGACCTGTCCCTCTCCCAGAGAGCTCCCACCTAGCCTCAAACTGCCCTCGCAGCAATCCCTTCGTCCCACCCAATGCGGGATTCCAGACAGCCGATCCGATGCCACCCCGGTCTGCTGCCCGTTCTTCGTCCGCCTCCCCCCTCTGCGCCGCATCAGGGTCGGCATCTTCCAGTGGTGGCACATGGAGCAGGAGAAAGGGGACAGGCGAGGACTGTGCGCGCAGAATAGTAGATTTGGTGAACGGGGACTCGGATACAAGCATAGCAACAAGAGGGTACTGCGGCACAGAGCCTGAGGCGGACGCGTCCGCCGCCGCCATGTGCCGGTGCAACACGCCTTCCATCTCGCGCACGTACTTGGGGCTCATCTTCTTCTTCTCTGCCTTGCACTGCGCGAGGACGCGGAAGCGGCGCCGGTCGTCCCCGCCTGGTGCGTCGGGCGCGCCGGGGCCGAGCAGGGGCGGCAGCCACCACCAGCCCATGAGGTCGATCCCACCGTCGGACTTGCCGCCGACGCGGCGCAGGGACATGGACATGTGCTCCTGCAGAAGCCCGAGCGCGCGCTCTTCGAATAGTGTGCCCCTGTGGACTGCGGAGAGGACGGGCGCTGCTGCGGCTACATTGCAGCGGATGGAGGATGAGAACATCGATGATTTGTTCGGGATTTCCCGTGCGGGTGATGGCGGCATTGGCGGCGAGTCTATGTTGCCAAACGACCCTCAGCCTGACTGAGGCAGATTATCGACATTCTTTACGGCTGTGGAGGTGGACGTGGGCTCATAGTGATTCCGTGATTGGGTGTGCGTATCCTTTCTCCTCTGGAGAAGCAGGCTCAAAAGGAAGGGTCATTCTCAACCCTGAGAAAGTCTCATATGATCATAACGGAACAATTCGATAACAGACTTTCTCCTTTCTCTGCGACATGAGCCCCATCTCTGCTGAATCAGACCAGGAGGTAGTTTGCACAACGCATTTTGTATGAGTGCTATCTGCAACTCATCGCTGACGTCCAGGACTCGGATGCGGAACTGTGGAAGGCTTTCGATGACGACACAAAATTTCGTAAGTCTGGTGGGCCGAGAGAGTATCAGAGTGTCAACGGCCTTGCGCATAGCTTCGAGTAATGTTCTCAAGCGCAAACGTTTGTTTGCCGCAGAATCGACTGCATATCGTGGGTATCGCCGAGTGAAGCAACGTCGTCCTGCAAAGTCTTCAATCCAGTTTCGCACCTCGTCCTGTCGCCTGGACGAAGCTGTGACGGATCCCTACATCATAGTACGCTGCTGCAAACATAAAACTTTTCATACGTTGATTCGCGTCGCGCAGGCTGGCTTTCAAACACTTGAGGACGAGGAGGCATTTCGAGGAATCAGCCAGCTAGCGACCGGTGTCATTTGGGAGACAGCCCGCCTCGTCAGCTCCGAACGCCTTACTGAGGCTCGATGCGATGTCTTGGAGGGACTGCAGGGTTCCAACGCGGATTCGGTCCCGCGAGCGCTGCAGGTGCTGACCAAGGAGCAAGCCCGAGGCATCGAGGGCGACGCTGCGTTTTCGGCCGAACGACAGGCTCAGGTACGTCGCTTTCTCTCTCCCTTTTTCCATCCGTTTCAAGGTGTCGCTAGTGCCCCTGGTCCGAGCTAGATCGGGAAGAACTTGCGCTGTCGGCGGATCCGCTCGCTGGGCTGGGCAACTGCGCTGAGATCGAGGACGGGGGGTATTACGGCGGCAAGATCTGCTTTGCGGGTGATATCGGGCTGGATAAGGCGGGTGTGGTGACGGTACGGTTGTCTCGTCCCTCGCTGGGCTCGTCCTGCCGGCTCTACCGCCATTTTGGATCGACCAGCTTCATCCGGCTTCGCGTGCCTACGAGCACTTTCTACTCATCGAGCAACGACCGGTCATTCCAATCGTTCTTCCGTAAGCCGTTTGTGATCTTCAACCGCGTCTTCCGCGCGTTTTTCGCGAAGGAAGGAACCGTCTTCCTGTTTCGGACGCGTGAGAGATGCGAGAACGGGCTGGTTGTGGATGATAGATCTGGCGCTGGGCTGAGCCTCTTTGAGTTCATCGATCAGTTCAACCCGTTGACGATGAATGATGATCAGGCGAGTCATCTGGGGACGGTCGAGGGAACTTGATGATCAATCCAGCCATAGATTCTCTGCAAGTGGGCCTCCCGATTCGCTCTCGGGCTGTCGAATTCTGTCCCTGGCCCGGAAATTGCGCCAGAACATGTGGAGGAGATACGAGATCTCGGTGCGTAGACTGAAGCTGCCGTCTGCAAGCTCCCGACTTTTTCGTTTGAACAGGGTCCAGCGAGGGGAGTAATATGACTGACGGCTGTGGGCTGTCTACTCCTGCGTTGCATCTCAAGGTCCGACGGATGTTCAATCTCGAGTCGACCCCGACTGCACTGCAAATGCGGTATGGAGGAAGAAAGGTACGTCCGCCGGGTTCTAGATAGCGTTTAGCGCTTAGCTGTTTGCAGGGCATGCTTCTACAATTCCCGGGTACGAATCTGGACACGGTTCCTAAGGCTGCCTTCCGCGATCCATCACAGGTGAAAATCCGGCTCGGGGCGCAGAGCCAACGGCACCGCGCGAACACCACTCTCGACATTCTGCGCTTCTCCCGGACCAAGACCCCGACGCGCATCTCCCCCGAGGTCATCATCAACCTCGAGCACAACGGTGTCCCGGCTTCGGTGTTCTTGGGCTTGCAAGAACGGTATCTCGCGGCAGGCGTAGACGATCTGGTCTTCTGGGCTCGCACTGACTATGATGGAGACAATCTGGATATGTTCAAGCTCTGGTCGGCCGTTGAAAGAAGCGAAGGCGTGCATTTTGCCCGCCGGGTGCGGGAGGACAAGGGGGTAGCCCGATTTCGCGGCCTGACTAGCGGATATCGAGACGAGATGGAGGAACAACACGAAGAGGACGAGGACGAGGACGGGGATCTTACTGGAGATCGTTTTGATCGAGTTTTCCACGAGCGTTCGACTGCTTGGTGGCCCGATTACATCTCCGGATGCCCTTCATCTCTCGCCGAAACTGTGATGGCACTCCTCGGTGCGCTGTTCTCGTCGATTTACGGATGCCTGCATCTGAGTGACATCGTTTTGATAGATGCTGGTTTTACCCCGCAGTCTCTTCCCGTTCTCAGGGATAAACTCAAACAAATTGCACTGAAGAAAATCAAGTACCGATCCCATCATTTCAGATATGACGTCCTGCAGAGTGCAAGCGCTTTTGTTGTGCCCGGTCAATTGTGCCTCGTTTATCTAGCCGACTCAGGCTGACTGCTGCATCCTGTCAGACGCTTGGGAGGTCTTGGGCGAAAACGAGATCCATTTCAAGAGCTCTCGTCGAGAATTCAATGTTGGCCCGGATGGCTTGGAGACGGACATCATCCTGGGGGACGTTCTGGTGAGAATTAGCATATGCGCAGCACTGGCTCGCGCCGATGATGGCGCTCGATAGATGACCCGCAACCCGTGCAAAGTCCCCACAGACGTAAGAAAAGTCAAAGCTGTCAAGAAAATCGAACTCCACGATGTGGTGGATGTGATCGTTTGTTCGGTGAAAGGCTCGCGCCGGTTGATTGACTACCTGGCTGGCGGTGAGTGCTCTTGTTGTCTCGGCGATGGCCGAGCTCTGATGGTGTGCAGGTGACTATGACGGGGACACAGCCGTGGTGATATGGGACAAGAGCATTGTCGAACCATTCAGAAACGCCCCGGAGAGATTCTCTGTCGAACCGCGCGAACTCGCCGCGAATTTCCAACGAAACGACACATCTGTGTCCACCTTCAATATTAATTTCTCCGGAACATCAGAAGCAGAAAAGGTATTTGAGTTGCAGTCGTACCTGCTTGGATCACTTCGCAATCCGTCTATGATTGGGCGATACTCCACGTTCCACGACAGTTCTATTGTCCTGAATGGATACGATCACCCGGAAACAATCATGCTGGCTTACAAGTATGTCATCCCACCGATTACTAGTCACGATCTGGAACTCTTCCAGATTCTGCAAAATTCTCGACTCTCCCAAGACTGGTTATCTGATCAAAGATCATGTCTATCGAAACGACCTCGCACGTCCACACGGCAATCCCCGCGGACCGAAGTGGAAATCCAAGGCGAACGAGAGCCAATTCGCGCACCAGTCAAACAGAGTGCCTGTCCAACGACGTTGCACCTCTGCCATCCCGTCGCTCTCTCGTCCGTTCATCATGGATGTTCTGCAAGACGAGGCGTCACGCCAGGAAGCTGTGTGGCTGCGATCCATCGAGGACCTCTTCCGGCCGTTCGAGCAGCAGTCTCCACACGTTCTCGATGACGCGCTCGCAGATCCGTGGCGCAAATACGCCTCTTTTGCGGATGCACGCGCGAAAGAGAAGGACGTCGGGCCGCGGAGCGATCTGGGCATCATCGCCACCCATGTGCAACGTTTGTATGTTCGACACGCCCTTGTATTGAGCGGACGGTCTGCCAAGGAATTACCTTCCTCCCCTGCCAAGTCGCTTTTTACAGGCAAAGAGATCACCGCTCGACAAGACGCACTTCGAACACTCTCACGTGACTTTGCGTCGGGCCCGAAGCTGGGCGAATTGGCGACGATGGCGGATGAGGGTCTTGTGGCGAGGCTGCGCGCGTCGTATGCGTATCTTTATGACTTTGAGAAGAAGGTGCACGCAGACGGTTGGTCTAGGTTTCCTTGGAATGTTGCGATGGGTGGTACGCACTGATCGCATCCCATTGACTGAGCTTTCATTGATCGAACGCATGCAGAGCTGTGCAAGATCAAAGCGAGCTCGCTTGGCTCCCATAAAGTTGTGACGACCTCCTTCTACGAGCGGTTCAGGCTCAGTGTGAAGCAAATGTCTTGAATGGTATGGTGTCTTTGGATGGAAAGAGATGTCGAAATCTCCCACTAAAATTATGTCATAAATCTCGATTTTTCGTTATAAAACTACCAGATATAACTACAAGGATGAATTCTCTCTGAAGCGAGGCAAGGCTCGCTGTACCAACCGCGTGTGTATTCGGCCGCCCCTATCTGTCAACTGCCCGAGTGCATGACATCATAGTGTCGCACTTGACGAGCAGCCTGCCATCTCTATCGCGCGCGCATTGCTAGTTACGCCTATGGGCTCTTGCTGCTCAACCCGCCGCAAGGAATCTCCCGAAACGCGTCCTCTCCTTCGCGAATCCTCCACAGATGAGACCAATGGTACCTATCCCGGCCCCACGCGATCGGGGTACGAAAAGTTCGCGGACGTGTTCGCAGCGCTGAGTGCGGGGAAGCTGCCGTCCCAAGAGCAGACCTCGACTGGTCTGAGGAGTCTGATATCTCTGGTCGATCTGCAGAGTCCGAGTGGGCTCAACAGTGCTGGGCTGAACGAGCGCGAAGTCGATGCCGTGGGCGCGGCGCAGGAGTTGCTGGACGCTGTCCTCCGGATTGGACTGGAGAAGAACTGTGCGTCGATGAATACTATCTGAGGCCGTGCTCATATGATGCTAGACGACGACAAGATACAGGAGCTGTACTATCACGCCTCACGGACTTTGAATGATGCCAACGACGAAGTGCCAATCCAGCTCAACGCGGAGGTCACAGTCAACGGAGCGCCGGTCAAAATCGGTGCGTCGAGGACATAGGCCCAGGCAACGCACTCTGCTTAACCAACTTAGACAGAAAGACCGCTAAACAGATCCCGGGGGATACTGCGCGGCTAGTCGCATCCATCAAGCCCCTCACTCGCCTCCTGCTCACCGAAAGCGCGTTCCGCATCCTGGTTTCGGATATCCTCACTACGACACGCGAGATCGTCGCGGAAACCGCGTCCGAAATCGGGCAGGCCGCGGCCAACGTGGAGGCTGCCGCATTCAGCATTGCCCAAGTGGCCACGACTGGGTCCGGCGGTGACGGAAATGCGGCTAGCCAAGCAGAGGAAGCGGTATTGGAGGTGAAAGAAGCGGCAGAGCGTGCTCAGGACGACATTGCCGCCGTGGGTCTGCAATCTGCAGAACGAGTCAAGGAGAACATCATTGAACGAATACAACTCGTGCGTTTCCATGTCATATATTCATGAATGAATCCTGCCGACTGACGGTGGATACAGTCTGTCAGCCAGATCCAAAGCCGTCCTGAATACAAGGATGCGATGTCCACGGTGCTGCGGCTGCTGCAGAAATACTCAGACAAGCTGGGATCGTTGACAAAAGCAGCGTCTGACGAACATGTTGCGGTTTCCGCTGAGATCGATATGTCAGAGTCCTTCGCTGAAGCACTGGGAGACCTGAAGATCCTCCTCGAGCGATTCGCCTCGCACCACTCCCTAGACCCGTTGCTGCATTCGTTCAAGGCGGCTATTACAGATGTGCTAGCAGCGCCGAACTCTGACTTGCGCGAGTACCTCTCCGTAGTGGGAGTCTGGTTCGAACGGGCACTGAGCGACCCGTCCTTTGCTCGATCGGCGAAAGCCAAGCGTGGGGCGGAGGAGTTGTACGATACGGGCAAGCTGCTGCTCGCGGCGCAAGAAAATGCACGATGGGCACGGGATTTCCGGCAGATGGTCTCGGAGGCACAGGCTTTCTCTGATGCGCTCCAGACGGACAAGAGCACGCGACAGCTTTTACAGGCCATCCAGCACACCGTCGCCGCCACCGAAGATATGTTCCTTAGCGTGAGAGGTAGAGGGTCGTGGCGGGACACGCTGAGGAGCAGGCTCCTCCGCTGGCTCATCCCGCGAGTGCTCAAGAACATCCGGAACTTGCCGATGCCCCGGGTGGAGTACAAGTCGAAGACGCTCGATGTCGCGGTCGACGCAGTGCTGCTGACACCGTCGTCGACCAGTGCATCGCTGTCGCCCGACTCCGTGCTCGTGCAAAACTGGAATGAATTCAAGTTGGATATGACAGTCCCGGACGCTGTGCTTCAGGCCTCCAGTCGGACAAGGGCAAGGGTCGAGGGAGTGCGGTGCTCTGCACACGGATTCGGGTACTTTGTCGACTACAAGGGGCCGCTCTCTTTCCTGCGATATTCTGACGAGGGCATCATCGACGTCGACATTGGACAGCCGGGGGCCAGCGGCGAGGGAATTGTGCTGGATGTGGATATCGAGACCATCGACGAGGAGCGGAGGACGCCGGGAGAACCGCTCTTCAAGGTCCGAGATGTGACGGTCGACGTTCCAGGGCTGGCGTTCAACATCCGACATAGTCGACACTCCATCCTCAACACCCTGCTCCTCCAACCGCTCTCAGCACCCGTCGTCCGGCTCGTCCTGCGGTCAGTACTAGAGCAACAAGTACACAGTGCCGTCGAGTGGGCGGATCGATTGGTGACTGCGGTGACTGAAGAGGCCGCGCGGATCGGAGCAAGAAGGAATGAAGAACCCACAATACAAGACTACTACGCAGCTGCGTTAGCCACGGCACCCGCGTTCTTCGAGAGCTCGCCGTCGACGCAGCCCACTGGCACGTCGACGTCGCACACGGACGCTACATTCAAAGGCATCATTCACACAACGATGACCGTGCCCGAGAACAACGACGATCCGGTCGAGGAGACGGTGCTCGCAGTGGGCGGAGGAGCGCAGCTGTTTCCCAACAAGGGCATCCCAGAATCAGCCGGCCCATCGGTGCTGGATACGGTCGTGGACGGGGCCCGCGAGCTCGTGGGGAAAGCGAAAGAAACCGCTGCAGCAGCGGAGGAGCAGGCCTTGCGTGCGAGAAGCGAATTCGACCGAGCGGAGCGCAGGAAGGAGGAGAGGGAGCAGTTCGAGCGGGTCAAGGGTGGCTGGCGGAGCAACGCGTTTGATTGGACAGGATCTACGTAGCATGTGCAGCTGAATCAGACTGGGAGGTTTTAGGCGGAAGCGGAACTGCGGTGACGTCCCCGTGTCTGAACAGGCGTCTGCCGGTCCTCGTGATGCGCAGGACCGACTTGCAGTTCGGGTCTGGGCAGGCGACGTCGGTGTCCGTCGTGATCCAGTCGTTCGCGTGCGAGACGCGCTGTTTCGCAGCGAGGAGCGAGAGGACTGCCGCTTGACGGGAGGTCAGCTTACATGTCGGCGACGCAGGTAATGGGCACGACTTGCACAGCGAGTAGATGGAGAAGCCCTGACCGGGGGGTAGATGCAGCATCTCCCCTTCGAGCGTAAAGTGGTCCCCTGGCTTGGCACCGCAGAGAATGCGCTCTCCGGGTGGGCATATGACTTCGACGCGCAGATCGTACAGCTCAAACGAATCGTCCATCATAGTGCGAGTCTCAGTGACAGTGCGGATAGAAACGCGATCCACGTGACTACTGGGTGACAAAGACTGTTGGATCAGATCCCGATTCGGATAATTAAAGTTCATTTTCAACTATTTACAAACTGTCACTGTTCGCGTCGAAATCGACTGCCGGGCTGAAGTAACCCAGCTCCCTCGTCTCGCTGAGATCGCGCGGAAGAAACGGAATGGCGCCCGGGGCCGCGAACATCCAGAACTGGCTCGCGGAGTTGTCTGCCGTCGGCGGAAGCAGCAGCACCTAGCCGGAATGATGTGATTTCAGCGCCAATGCTCAATCGCTGCAGCAGGAAACGGCCGCTTGCCTCGGATCCAGCGTCAGGGTTGTACGTCCACACCGATCCGTCCGGTGCGCCAATCTGCGCGCAAAATAGGGAGGATGAGCGTCGGCAGACGAGAGGAGTGGCTGGGGTTTTGGTTGGCTCACCGTCCAGTAGTCGATGTGCGAGTCGGGGATCATCCCGCCGTCGCCGGGAAGTCGGCCGTTCCGGATAGCACGAGCGCGAACGTGCTGGACCTGTTGGCGGTCGTGCCGATGTACTGGCCCTGCGCGCGCGAGAAGAAGATCGAGTGAGTTAATGCCATTCACGGCGATGCGGAGGAACGGAAACGCGTGTCACCTGTCCAGGGGTTACTTGCGCCCACCGGCCGGCATCGACGCTGTGCATGGTGATCCCGTCGAGCGCGCCCGGGGGTGTGAGGACGTCCCACTGCAGTATGTTGCTCGTCAGCCGTGGGGCTCTGCGCAGCGCGTGGACGTGGACGTACGAGGCTGTGGCCCCCCGAGAACGCGGGCGGGACGTACACGCGGCTGTGCGCCGCGTCGACGGAGACCGGCGCGTACGGGTGCGCGAGGTTGACGACGTGGTACTGCCCCGGCTTCAGCTGGGTCTGGGGGGGGGGGGGCGTGGGCATAGTCAGTCTCGAGCGGATGGCCACGTATGGGGGAACCGACCGCAAAAAGGCCGTGGACGAGCAGGAGCGAGGTCAAGATCTGGGCGAACATGGTCCTGAGTGTGTGTATCCTCCGAGTGGGCGTTGCGAACAACAGCTGAGGCCCACCCCGCTTGGGGCGGTCGAGGTTTATATACTCCCACTCAGGAAAATAATACTTAGGATTCATCGATCAGCGGAGGATCGGCTCTCGCTTCGGCGAGCGTACATAAGAGAAGCGAAGCAAGACGGAGGTGGAGAATCCTCCGCTGCGGTAAGCGCCCCACGGAGGTCTCCGCACGGCGGGCTTCCCCGGTTTAGGCTCGCCACGGGTGCGGAGGCTCGAGAGGAAGAAGCACGCAAGGTTCGGTCACGCACGCTCTTGGCCCCCTACGGCACACGGAGGGAGCCCGACTGCACAGGACTGTTCGGCAGCCAACAAATCGGAGTTTTCGGTCTCTTCCTTTTTTTTAGACGCACACTTTGCTCCAAGCGCTAAGGATGTGAGGACATGCTCCAAACAGGTACAGTACCACTCCCAAACAGGCACAAGTGCGATGCAATACAGTAAGTTATAATCCAGGTCAGCCAGTGCCGTAATTACCAGTCAGAAATCGAGAAATTACAGGGACCAAGTCTCCCAGTGCGTTCTGTACATCTGAAACAACTGAATCTGCTTTACGGAAACTTGTTCGCGGGCATCCGAGCCGGACAAACTGCTGAGCTGACGAACAGTCATGCGACCCATCAAGTTCCTGCCTTTGCCGCCTTCGCCGAGCGAACCGTCGGCCAGATTCTGGTTCCGCTCCTGGAGGGCGAGAGTGCGGGTCCTCGTCCGTATTCATGATCACGTATCGTTCGCGCTGCTGGTCCAAGCGATGTCTGCGGCTTGTGTACGGGAAACGATGCCATCAAGGCAGCGAGACTTTTGGCGTAGATGAGGGCTCCCTGCCACACTTGAAAGACGCGGACATGGCGCGCGCGCTCACCTCGTACACCGGCACCTGCACAGCCTCGTTACGCTGCTCGACCGACATGTTGCCGTCGGCGATCCCTTCCTACATGAAAAGTCCGATACGATGTTCAGGCAGGACGTCCACTGCGACAGGACCAACGTACGTATTTTGGTACGGCTTTGTTGTCGTCGCTCGAATCTCGGATCCGTTTCGTCGCCGCGTTCAGCTTCGTTGACGGTGATGGCGACACGTGCGCAGGGCACGGTCACGGTCTTGACCGCCAGCGCTTCTGGTCCTCGACCGACACTTGCTTCACGTGCTGTCTCGTTGGGCCAATGACTCCAGGGTCGACGTCGCCGTCGACCGAATCGAGAGCGATAATGGGCCGCCGACCCTGAATCTGCCGCTTCTTCCCTCCTCGTCGCTCAGGCCCTTCTAGTCCCGGTCGTTACTAGCCTCGGGTCAGGTGCTGTCATATACTTGCGGGCCAGGAATAACGATCTTGGGTCTTGCTCTTTGAATCTTGTCCGGCATCTCGGCTTCACACATCCACGATCTTGCCATACTCGAAAACACCGTACCACAAGCGAGGAAGGTCCAGCACACCAGACATGCAGGAGGCTCCACTCCACAGATACAAACATGGTTTGACACACATCGCGCGCACTTCCACGCGAGCCACGTGATCGCGATAACTCTTTGGACTACCACCTACTACCACTTATGAAACCCTTGGATGTGACTTGGACGTGCTAGCTACGGAACCTACTGGGCCAGGAACTCTGCGACGACCTCGAGGTAGCGCTCCTGCTCCTCGTAGACGGCATGTGGCTGCTCTCGGCGAACTCGACCCACTTGACGGGACCACGGATGTGCGTGAAGAACGGCGCGACGGCGAGGTTGCGCGCCTCGTCGAAGCGGCCGTTGAGCACGAGCGTCGGGGCTGTGATGTGCTGCAGCTCGTCGACGACGGACCAGGTCTTGAGCGAGCCCGTGACCGTGAACTCGGACGGCCATTCCTGGTTGCACCGGCCCGGGGTGAGTATGTACATAGAACCAACGCGATTGGTGGGTTTGCACGCACATCGTCATGTACACCGTCGGATCCTTTGCGAGGTCCGCAAACGCCTGGTTCAGATCCTCGGGCCAGACCTCCAGCCGACACACGTGCTTTCTGTAGAACTCCTGCAGCGCGTCCTTGGTACTCCTGGCTCTCGGTCGTCCCGGCCGCCTCGTGGCGGGCAGAGCGCGCGGAAGCCCGCGGGGAACTGCGCCCGCAGCTGGCCGCAACCCTCGACCCACAGCGCCATCGACGCCGGCGAGTCGGGAGATGACGAGGCGGTGCAGGTGCGCGGGCCGCCGGTGCGCGGCGTACGTCGCGGCGAGCATGCCGCCCCACGAGTGCCC